TTCAGATTGTTAGGCCGTTTTCTGTATATTGGATCAGAGAAAATGTACTTTATATTGTTTCTGCAATTGATATAATAATTGCCTGTGCGAATTATATAATCATCAGCAATTACGCCTCATTGTTATGATAATAGAGATAAAGAACTGACCTGTGTTAAGATGACGCATAGAAGACATTTAAATTTTAAAAGAAAACGGCGTCCAATTGTATTAGTTATCCCTGCAAATAGTCATTTTCTATGATAAACATCACTACAGAAAATCACTATTATGCTTCTTTACTAGGAGTAACCATTATATTATTGTCGACATGGAAGATATCTGAAGAAGTCACGTAAATAAGTCATGTGAAAGCACAGTGAAAGAAAGCTGAACACAAAGAAAGCCAAATCAGTTTCGTCGTTAATAAGCATTATTCCAATTTATACGATCATATCAATGTACATATTACCGGAAATAATCCCTTTTGCAACAAACTGTAGTGGTAATTAATACGTTCAACATATAAAACGGTAACTTATATTACATTGTCCAGTCTTTTCTCGCGACCATGGACATATATAGATATTCATACTGCTTTGAAATACTGTACTTAATTATAACAATCGGATACCATACCATTTCGATAAAGCAACGCGTAGAAACTCAATACCTTTAGTAAAATGTCCTTAATTCATTTGATTAATCTTTATTAAACCTATTCTTTTAGCGTATAACATAATAAAACTAGATCTTTTTATGAAGATAAAGGATTGGAAAGGTAACGAGCGGGTGGGAGACCTTGCGAAATAACAAGGGGAAAAAACCTTAGAGGATTTACCCGTGTCTTAGAAAACAGCGACCAGATTGTTACAGGAATAGAAATATCAAGACCGGATCTGTTGCAAGTGTGCTTGTAACGTAAAAGAAGCCAGCAGTCGCAGTTAGTAAGAAATTTTCGCAGAATTCTGAAGGAGAGGAAAAGCCTACATATCCACCAGTCATTTTAAGGGCAAGCGGTGCATATTTGTCCAAGTAGGCTACGTGCATCATATGAGTATGTAGATGGATATACGAGATAAAACGGTTTCCTTGAATTTAGTGATATAGGTTAAGGGAAATGACACAGATTGGGTTCTTTTATGATTAGGAAGGCTATATATGTTGGGAATATGTACCAAAAAATACGTAATGAAATAATCCAGACAAAAGTTACATAATGGAAATACAGAGGTGATTGTAGTTAACAGAAGGCCACTGATTTCATATCAGTTTTCATATCAATTCTATCATACACCCTCACCTTATATAAACAATGACTTATATAGTCCAGAGTGATGGGGATTTTCATAATGATTTTTATTCATGAAAGAAATTCGAAAATTATATTTATCTTTACCGAAAATATAAGGTAACCAAGTTGCTTAGCTAGAGAATACGAATATCTAATTTAGGAAATTCCAGCAAATGGCTAACCTATCCACATTGTGCTCATAAAGGAGAAAATCCTTCCTTTGACGATAAACCTGGGAGACAACTAATATTGTAGTGTGACATTGATTTTTTTTTTTCGCTTACTCGTAGATTACTTCTCAGTATTATGAAGGTTATTTATCTATTTATCTATGTATTTATTGTTATTGTTATCGTTATTGTTGTTATCATATCATTACCTTTATTAGTATTACTGCCATCATCTTTATTATTGTCATTATCATTATTATCATTATTGTTATTATCAACATTATCATTATTAATAACACCTGCATTATCATCATCATTATCAGCATCATTATTACTATTACCACCATCATAATCATTATCAAGCTACCATTATTCCTGCCAAACGGGTGCAGAATTAATCGCAATCAGCTGCTAGAGGTAAAAAAAATAGAGTGCTTGGACAAGTGAACAGCGGATGCGCAACGTTTCAAGAAGACGAGAAGCGACGTCGAGCGGGAAAAGGCGCGCAGAAATCTCCCGTTCGTTTAAAACGTTTTTTTGAGCTTGCGTCCGAATGCGTCGCTCTGAGTCCCCGTTTTTTTTTTTTTTTTTTTTTTTTTTTTTTTTGAGAAATTGCCTAGTACGGGAAAATTAAAAAGTAAATGAGCTCGTATTGCACTGGCGTTGGTATTACGTAGATGTTGAATTAATCTTAAATCATTCCTGAATTAAGCAAGGGAGATGGCTAATATTAGACAGCATGTATCGATTTCCATAAATAGTGACTTTACTCGTTACTAAAAACAACAATAAGAGGAATATTTCTCACAGGATAATGGGAAAGGAAATCCTATGATTTGATCCGGTTTTATTTACAAACGACGAAAGGCAACTTAATGGACGAAGCTTTCAACAAGAACCGGGAAATTTTTAAGTCCACCTTGATGCCCGAGTTAATGTTATCTATTCAAAAAAAAAAAAAAAAAAAAAAAAAAAAAGATCACTGAGATATTTGAGTCAAGATTAAGCTCATAATACAGTGAAGTTCAACGAGTAACTTTAATCAAAACCAAACTTAAATCACAAATGAAGTTCGAGCCAAAATTTATTTAGGCACAAATAAACTTTATAGAGCAATTTGAATCAAAATCAAACGAAATTCACAAGCAACTCGAGACAAGGTTCAACTCAGAACGCAAACGAAATCCAACGAAGTAACTCGAGAGCCAAAAATAAACTCAAAACACAAATGAACTCGAACGACTAACTTGAGCCGAAAATAGACTCGTAACACAAACGAAATTCAACGGTTGACAAGACCCCGCGTCCCGACCGAGTCCCGGCGCCCCAAAGCGTGGCGCAAACGGACCCGCCCATCGGAATGCCTAAATCCGGGAACTTCGAACCTCCCACGCGGGTATTTTCACCGGGATTCGGTAACTGCGGAAATGGGCTGAAGATAATTGCGAAATACCGCTCGGTTCTAGAATTTGAAATTGATTAGTATCGTATGACTTCCATTTGAGGAATCTTTAAAATGATATTTAGGATTTAGGATATTACAGATTAAACAGATATTCGTATCTCTAATTTGTAAGCTTTTTTAATGACCAAATGGTGAAAATGCTAAATACATTGATCATATACTATTCGCCTTCCGATACATGACTAACATTTATTATCATTATTTTCACCGCAGATGTTCTTGCCATTTACATTATCCACCCCAATAAATCGCCATGAAAGAAAACAAGTTCGAATGGCAACAGGCGTCACATCGCAGTATAAAATGAGGGATAAATATATTATTTGTTGTCACAGTGCTTTTGTTATGTTAAAGGTGAGCTGTCAGACACGTGATTTGCGATGTTTACTGAAGGTCACGTTGTTATTATCAAGTGGGGGAAAACACCTGTTTTTGTTAGCCATGTCTAGGGAAATATTCTGAGAGAGAGAGAGAGAGAGAGAGAGAGAGAGAGAGAGAGAGAGAGAGAGAGAGAGAGAGAGAGAAGAGAGAGAGAGAGAGAAAGAGAAGAGAGAGAGAGAGAGAGAGAGAAAGAGAAGAAAGAGAGAGAGAAGAGAGAGAGAGAGAGAGAGAGAGAGAGAGAGAGAGAGAGAGAGAGGGAGAGAGGGAGAGAAGAGAGGGAGATGAGAGAGGGAGAGGAGAGAGAGAGAGAGAGAGAGAGGGAGAGAGAGAGGAGAGAGAGAGAGGGAGAGGGGGGGAGGAGGGGAGAAGGGAGAGGAGAGAGGAGAGAGAGGAGAAGAGAGAGAGAGAGGAGAGAGAGAGAGAAGAGAGAGAGAGAGAGAGAGAGAGAGAGAGAGAGAGAGAGAGAGAGAGAGAGAGAGAGAGGAGAGAGAGAGAGAGAGAGAGAGAGAGAGAGAGAGAGAGAGAGGAGAGAGAGAGCTAGAAGAAGAGAGAGAGAGAGAATCTATAGTTGTGTTTACTCGTTTTATTACCGTTTTGCAACAACGTGTCAGGTATCAAGGGCAGGAGTAGACAAATAAACAAATGGATAGATGGACGCACAGACATACACACACGCACATACACGAAACAAACAAAAAACAAACAGACAGACAGAGACTCAGGCAGACATA